CCCACAGAGATGCAGATCAAAGCACTGAAAGCAAAGGTAGACATGCAAAGCTAATGTGCCAAAGACTGCACAGTCCTGCTATGAAACGCTGGTGAGCCATTTCAGTGGCAGCAAGGTTTGTCACCAAACCAACATTCTGACGTCGATGTGGTACCCGATCAAATATATCAATACAAGTAATGACATAACGTGACAGAAAATGCAACTTTTAAAAAACAAAACAGAATTTAAAGGCTGAAAAAAATAGTTTGACAATATGAATGCAAGGCAACAGAAGATGTTGCTGATTTAATATCTAGGAGGTACTGGAGGAACTCTTCATTACCAGCTGCTCTTTACATGTTCACGTCTCTTCAGCTTCACATGTCACACGTACACGAGGTCAAATCCTTGCAGAGATAAGTGCCGCAGGACGTCAGCGCACATTTTAATTACCCACCTTCGCTCTTTCTGCTAGAATTCAGTTGATCCGTTATAAGTGGTGTTGCTTGTGAATGGAAGACTTTCAGCAGCTTGCAAGTAAAATTATGTTGGTGAAAGCTGCATTTACGTGCAGAGATGTTTCCCACAGTAGCAAGTTAATGTAAATTATGAAGCCAAATTTAACAGCCCAAGTCACCATGTTTGTCAGCAAGATGCTCTGCCAAGCTGAATATGTCGACTCCTCTGGTCAACATACTTCCTTAACAATGTACATGGGCTTGGCTATGTCGCTGAAATCATGCCATATTTCACTTCTTGCATCTGCTCTGACAGTTCGTGGATGGTCGCCAAATGCACTTGTGTTTGCAGACGTGTTTCTTCATGAAAGCTGCATTGTGCTTATGAGAATAAATTAGTGTTGCACCCACTATACCTGCAGAGAGTGGACGCTGCACTCGCAAACTCGTACAACTATTAAAACAGTCATTCTTTATGTGTAGGCACGAATAACGGCAGGGTGTTGTGATATCTTTCTATTGTTGTGCAGCATTTTGGCAACACTAAAGTCAGGTTGGGCTCATTGAGATGTACAATACAACTCACGATAGAATGTGATTTATTTATTTTTTTTGTCAGAGACATGTTTCTTATTTATTGAACAAAAACGAGTTAATTAAAGGGACTAAAAGTTCTGTTGTTGTGAAAACTTTGAATATGAAGCTTCAGCTCACATCAAAAAATGCGCCACCAAACAAAAGAAACAACCAGCCTCGATTCAGGAAGAACAGAGTCATCAAATCTTCACAGAATATGTTAGATTATCTTCTCCTGGTGGGATGTTTAGGTCAAGGTGAGCAGCGCAGCACATGGTGGGATATTTCAGCTCCACTAATAACGCTCATACGTGTTTTCGCTAAAGTCAGTGCAAGCAACTGCTGCCCACCTTTTTTCTTTTTCTTGTTTTTTTTTAAAATCTTCACAGGGAGACACCTTACTATCTACCCAGTTTATCAGCAAATCCAAATTAAACAAATCTCACCACAGCTTGTGCCTGTCCTCTGGCGTTCCGTTCATTAATTAGACGTCTAAAAATATCAAACCCCTCCAAGACTTAATTAACCCATCGACTCCATTTGGTGGATGGTGTACGCCTGCGTTTGGAGGGGAGATGAATGACTTTTATCGGTGTGTGTGTGTGTGTGTGTGAGTGCTCGTTTCGGATAGAAGGCAATCACAGCGAGCTTATGCGTTCCCAACTCATCCGTGCACGACTGCGTGCTTCGTTTTTTTTGCTTGACTTTTAAAGTGTAGGTGTGTGTTTTTATGTACATATGCTAATACCACTTTTCATGTTACAACACCAGCCTCGCAGTAAAAATCTGCTACTAAAGCTTTAGAGAAACTCATCGTAATCCCCATCAATCACGCTTTTCTCCGCGCTCACATCACAACGCAAACGTAACAGAAGAGTCAAAGGCTGCTTTGATTCGCCATTCTCTCTGATTTGCCAAAGAGTGGGCTGTGATAAAGCAATAATCGATCAATTATTCAAGTTGTTTTCATTTGATTTGACACTTGTTAGAATAGCAATTGTGGATCGGGCCGCTTTGATGCTCGGGAATTAGTGTCGTGGGAAGCAATGTTTTTCAGAATACAAATCCAACAACAGGAGCGTCTTTTAGTGCCGTTGATGAATTTAATGTCTCCAACAAGGTTTTCTGTTTAGAATTTTTCATCCTTTTCTCACACTGTTGTAACTTTTAACAGTGCGTTGCTAGAAAGGATCACTTCTGCTTTTCCATCCATCCATTATCTATACACCGCTTAATCCTCACTAGGGTCATGGGGGGCCGGAGTCTATCCCAGCTGACTTAGGGTGAAGGCAGGGGACACCCTGGACAGGTCACCAGTCTATCACAGGGCTACACTTAGAGACAGACAACCAAGCACACTCACATTCACACCTACGGACAATTTAGAATCACCAATTAACCTCAACATGTTTTTGGACTGTGTGGGAGGAAGCCGGAGAACCCGGAGAGAACCCACGCTGCACGAGGAGAACATGCAAACTCCACGCAGAAAGATTCCCCCACCAGGACGCGAACCGGCAACCTTCTTGCTGCGAGGCAACAGTGCGAACCAACTGCGCCACCCTGCACTTCTGTTTTTGTTTCCTTTTGAATAATCAGTTGCCATTTCTCCCCCCCCAATACTGACATTTGCATCAGAAAATGATTAGAGTCGATGTCTCGTGTCTGCCGCTTTAGTGACCTTTGGATGTCGCCTATCTCCTCCTGACATTTGCCACAGACAGTCAACTGCCATCCAGTTCCACTGTGAACCTGTGAATCGTGAGTTAGTCACCGATTGGCAGAAGGGAACACATATTTTTAGGTTTTCGGGGCGATTTTAAAATGCTCGAGAGTTACTGTAAAGTGAGAAAAAATATATGAACAGGAGTTAACTCGATAAAATCCAGGGAAGTGTGGATTGATACTGTTCTGATGTGCTTGCCAGGATGTTAAAGTGACATAAGCAGTCGTCAACTTCCACATATAATTTAATGATTGCTGACAGTGCCGTATTTTATGATGATCGTTGACCAGCAGGACTAGCCGAGCTTCTGACAGTCAGCACATAGCAACAAGGTGAATCTAGAAAGCGAAATGAAGCAAGAAGTTGTGTGTCAGGTTGTCGTATCATCGGCGCGTGTTTGCGAGAGAGGCCGAGATCCTGACTCAGCTGCCGTCGTAATGCAATTGTGTCGCACTGAAAGAAAAATGTGTGCGCTTGAGAGAGAGCGGGAGAAAAAGAAAGCGCGGCGGCACTGTGTGTAATGAGCTTGTGAACAATCATCATTGCTTCATTGTGTGAGTGGGTGAAGTTAGCCCTGAAGATTTTAATAAGCTCCACCACCATCTGCAACACAGAAACCTATTACAATCATATAATGGCGTTTCCATGTGTGGTGTAATGGCATGTAGCATAATGGAGTTTCCCCCCTCCTTTTGCAGTATGATCATGACTCTGAAAATAATTTTGCTCGGCATGATCTGTATTCATATTCGACGACGGCTATGCGTGCTCTGCTCCAAATGACAAAAATCGCCTGTCTGGGGTAAAGCATGTAGGACTAATATCAAAATCCTCCAGAGAGCTCCGCGCAAGATTTGTCTTCCTGCTCGCATTCAGCATTTAAGACCGCCTCGATGTCACTTGTTGGGTGTGAAATATTCCCTCCATATGCAGTAAAGACGGGCAGGGAGTCCGAGTCAGACGCCGCGAGAGGCATAACGGCGACGCTGACGTCAGAGTTAGTCAATTACCTGGTTTAATGAGTGGAAGGAGGTTAGAACACGTACCCTGCCTACTTTGTTTTCGATGGCAGGTTTCCACATGCGATAGCTGCAGCAAGACGAGCGAAGATAGCTCCTTTTTTTCATCTAGTTTCGAGCTTCTCTTCTGCCAGTAATTATGATTAACAGGCCGGCCAATTTTACAGCAGCGTCCCAGTCAAGGTTTTCATCAGTTTGTAACCTGGCCAAGCTGCAGAAAAGCCAAAAAAAAAAAAAACCTGAGCAGCTGTGGAAGCTGTGTGAAAGGCTTTAATGTGTGTTGAAGAAAATGGTTCTGTGTAGTTCAATGGATGGAACTAACTGTGCCTTGGATAGGGGCTTCAATTCCAGCGTATATCAGATGGCACATTGCTTCATTACTGGAAAATGTTACAACACTGGTTTTTATGGTTTTTAATGTTTTTAAAACGGCTGCGTTTAGATTTACGTCGTCCTCCAAGAGTTAAGAACAATTTTGAGAGTATTTAAAATTTAATGGGTGTTGTGCTGTAGCAATGCAGAGGTGGGAATAAAAGGAATTTTGTAGGAGATGGAGTGTTGTGGCCTTTTGCTCGTGTTTTATGTGGATGGGAAGACACGGGCGGCATGCAGTATGATGCAAAAGAGTAATATATGACATATCAGAGTAAATCTTTTGATTTAAAAGCAGAAATTAGCTGCTATTATGTGCTTTTAATACCAAATAAGGGCATTACATAGACAGTAAGTAGCTGCAGTAGTCATTGTGTTGTATTAAAAGTGGATGAAAATGTGAAAAATAGCATAAAAGGTGTCACTTGTAGTGCAAATCCAACTACCATCTTCTGTTTTCCTCAGCTCTACAGCCTTTTTAACATCTTAGTTAACTATCTGGTAAATACAGGGGAGCTAAAGTGCTCGATATTTCCCTCAGGAGCTGGTGGAGAACAAAATAGAGCTAAAACACATTTGTCAAGTGGCCAGACACACCACTCCAGTCATCGCTAACGCTGCAGTGTGTCTGCTAAATGTGTAAATAGACAACTAATAGCTTCGTTAAGTGATCATATATCAATGTTTTATGCACAGCCTGTTGCATTGCTCCCAGTTATTACGGCTTATGAACTTGCTTTGGCTGTTGTCTGTGTGGGGATTATGTCTCATATTTCCCCTAAGTCAGTAAAGTACACCGTCATCACTACTGCTGCGTCACATATGGTGAGTGTGTACCGACAAATATGTGTGTTCTCGTCCAACCAGGTGCCCCAGGATGAGTGGGGGGGTTATCCAGGCGGAGGGAAAGACGATGAGATCCCTTGTCGTCGGATGCGGAGCAGCAGCTATGTTAAAGCCATGGGGGACGAGGAGAGCGGAGAGTCGGACTCCAGCCCCAAGACATCGCCTCAGAAGTCGGTGCGGCCAGACGCCCTGGTCAAGGCCATCATCAGACCCAGGGACCTGCTGGACTCCCAGAGGTATGACACATGCTGAGGGAAGATTTCAGTAGCTCGTGGTGTTTGGCTCTCTTTTGGTTTGCTCTCTTTTTATTTTTTTTTATTATTATTTCCTTGCATGTCCTTGCTTAAGTATTCAGTTTGCCTCTAGTGCTTGCACAAAACCAACAATCTCCATCTTAAAAACTCTCATCCTCATTTTAAGAAAGTTACCAAGAGCAGAATATTAATGCGATTATGTCATCTATCCGTTTTGTGTGTGTGTGTTTGTAAAAAATGTAACAGTCCCAGTCAAAATCTGACTATTGGCCTGTTCATTCATACTCAGTGTCTCCTGCGTGGGACACCCCTGGGATCCAACCTGGGGACACTGACATTTTTGATGCTCCAAGACGTAAAGCTTCAGATTACACATATAGTGGCTTTAAGTAAATCTATTAAACCATCATATATTCAAAGCTTTGTCAATAATCTTTAAAATAATTTGGTGAAACTGAATTCTGTCAGTGCAGAGATGTTTGTTAATGCCACGACTAGCTACTATATGTGTACGTATTTTAGAGTGCGCCTCGTTTCAGCTCATTACCTGTTTATGCTTTTGAAAATCATCGCGCTTGTTCTCGGCTCTTGCTTATTCCCTCTTGCTAGTTTTCTTGTCTCCTGCTTGGCTCCACCGTTACATCAATGTCAAGCCCTCGATAGCTGAACCCGGCGCTCATTAGAATTCCTTTATGGGCGTTCATATCAGCCGTAAGAAAGCGTTGGGCGCATTCTTCTGGGATCTGTCCTATTAAACGATGAGGAAATGGAGGGCTTTTGTTTTGTTAACTCAGCGGCAGAAGAAAAAAAAAAACACTCATAAGAGGATTACACGATGAGACAAGCTGAAGACAATGTCACAGGAAAAAAGAACACAAGCAGCTACGTTATGGAAGAGATACGAGAAGAGTTGCCGCGATTATGGCATTCACAAATCCATTAGATGAGAATGAAATTAGATTATAGAGTACTCAGATAAAAAAAAACTAAATAATAATAATGAACTAAGCTCTTCTATAGTAAGGCTAGAGAGCGCAGAGATTCTTCTTCTATGCTTTTTCCCTAAAGGTGTTTGCTTGGGTTGCGTTATCGTTAACATGAATATTAAAATTATCTGCCTTTCTTAATAGTGTTCAAGGCCAATTATAATAGAGGTACAGCAATGATACACGGCAGAGATTACGCCGAAGCTGTGTTTGGTCACAAGTGGATTCCTTATCTAACCTGCCTGCCTGTTGTGTGTGTGTCGTGATATTTGCTCATTTTTTTTCAACACTTTCGCGGTAGCTCACGTCCATCTTGATTTCATTCATCCTCTACCCACTTCACTGAAACATAAACCTGGGTAAAGACCAACCACTGACACAAAAGGTGCTTGTGGTACTTAAGGATGTGAGGATGTGTTTTCTGTCCATTATTTCCAGCAGTTTTCAAGTTTAAATCCATAATTGAAACTATTTACTAGTTGTCATCTTTCCATACTGCTGCAAGGTGGCGCAGTTGGTTAGCACTGTTGCCTCGCAGCAAGAAGGTTGCCGGTTCGCGTCCCGGTGGGGGCACCGGAATCTTTCTGCGTGGAGTTTGCATGTTCTCCCCGTGCAGCGTGGGTTCTCTCCGGGTTCTCCGGCTTCCTCCCACACGGTCCAAAAACATGTTGAGGTTAATTGGTGATTCTAAATTGTCCGTAGGTGTGAATGTGAGTGTGCTTGGTTGTCTGTCTCTAAGTGTGGCCCTGTGATAGACTGGTGACCTGTCCAGGGTGTCCCCTGCCTTCGCCCTGAGTCAGCTGGGATAGACTCCAGCCCCCCGTGACCCTAGTGAGGATTAAGCGGTGTATAGATAATGGATGGATGGATCTTTCCATACTTGCCTTGTGCGATCTTGGAATTGCATTGTTGTAGTACCGCCGATGCCAAACTATTACAGCGTGTGTGTGGCGGATTCATATTTCCCAAAGTAATTTTTTAAAAGGTGGCAACACAGGAAAGCAAATTCACTTTTGTTCCCTCTTCAAGAGACCTGCTCCTCTTTGTTCTCAGCAGAGTGTGAAAACAATGATTACAGCTGACATTCACAAGTCTATTTTAATAATGAGACAATTTAAAAGATATCCTAGACCTGCTCTTTCAAAACACTGTGTTGTTTTTTTGTTTTTTATCTGCCTCTCTGCTTCTCCATTGAGTGCATTTACAGCAGCAGCCAAGGTTTGAGTTGAGCGCCGGGGTCTCCATTAAAGGCCTCCAGTGTCAGCCTGAATAGCGGAGCCTCTGATTGTACGTTCTCATTTTGAGACAGTCAGATGTTGTCTTTTCCTTTTATCAAAGGTGTAATGGCAAAGAGTGTAGTCAAGATGAAAGAGAAGTGCTTTTTGGTAATTCAGTGACCCGCAGAGTTGGCGTGTTTTTAGCAAGGTTTTGATTTGAGAGTGATACGCTTTGAGAATTTGTTGTGGACTTCACTCACCTGTTCTGTGCCCTCCTAAATTAAAATCAGGGCACTTTATGCACTTTTATGCTTTTATGCAAAGAAGTCTACTGGGACTGCTACAAAAACCTTTCCCGGAGACAAAAGCGCATGTCTGGGTGCCATATATCCCTTGTGAATTATCAATAAACCACTTAGAACAGATGAAATGGGGTTCAAAGAACCTCGTCTGACCCCAGTCCTTTTTATATGAAAAGTATTCCTGTAGTCGTGTAAATATTAAACGACTTGGAGTCGTGGAAAGGTTTTAGCTAATCATAGTTCTTTATGAAAATAGAGGTTTTCTTCTGAATTCATTGGAAACAGAGGTCATAAAAGAAAATTACACTATTTTAAAAACATCAATCTTTTTCATCTTCTAATGGAATAATGTTCAACAAACAAATCATACGTGAGGAGAATTTGGTTTTCTTTCGTAATCAAAGGTATTTCTAATGAGCTTATACTTAACTGTTGCTATCCTGACCTCAAGGTGCAGAAAATATTTTGTTATCAGGTCTATTTCTTGAAGTTACATGAACCTGGATGAAGTTTTAAATCAACTAATGCAGAAATCTGGGCGCTGCTATAGCTCACCTGGTTGAGCTGGTGACCCATGTACAGGGTCTGTCGTCCCTGATGCAGCGGCCACGGGTTCAAATCCCACTCATGGCCCTTTGCTGCAACCCTTCCCCCACTTTCCTGTCTCTCTCTTAACTGTCCTGTCTAATAAAGGCCAAAAAAAATACCTTTAAAAAAAAAACTATTTCAGAAATCTGGGCGCTGCTGTAGCTCACCTGGTTGAGCTGGTGACCCATGTACAGGGTCTGTCGTCCCCGATGCAGCGGCCATGGGTTCAAATCCCACTCATGGCCCTTTGCTGTCACCCTGTCCCCCACTTTCATGTCTCTCTCTTAACTGTCTTGTCTAAAAAAGGCCAAAAAAAATACCTTTAAAAAAAAAAAAACTAATGCAGAAATCTGACTTTAAATCACACACAGTGTTAAGTCAATACAATGACCAATGCTATTGTGTCAGCCCAACCTATCAAAATAATGTTTGCAACTTAAAAGGTTTATCTAAAGCAGTAAATTAGAGTTTTATCTCCCAACAATGCATTTAATTAAGCGGTGTGAATAGGTCCCTCCAATTACTTCTCAGTCGCTTCTACAACTCAGGACGTCCTGACGCTACATTCTTGGACAACTGATATTACTTGGCAGTGCGAAAGTCGCTAAAAGCTTAAAGGAACATTATTCATCAGCGTTAGATACTGAATTATTTCTCAATTAAGTGAGATTAAATGTTAAGTAAATATTTGGGCTGCAGATGAGAGAAGGAGAGAAAGACGAAGCCAGAAGATTTATTCTGTGGTCATCCAGCCACAAGTCACAGCGATGGCTGATAAATCCATAAAATTGCTAAAATGAACAATATAAAAAAAAACAAGAAGGGAAAAATAGTGGTACTGAAGGAGTATGACTTGCAGAATTGCTTCTATTGGAAAAATAGCCTCGGCTTTGTTGCTTCTGCTGGTGAAACATAACCGGAGTATGTCCTGTTTCATTCCTCCTCGGTGCGTTTTATTCGGGGAGGACTGTGTCGAAAAACTCCTCACAGGGCTGCTGCGACTTTCGGCATCCATCACGCCGTGGTGTCTGCTCGGCGTCTGCTCCGCACAAGCCTGAAGGCAAATAATCGGACATAAATTGTGGACATTATGCACAGATGACCTTGTGTCTGACCTCGGCGTAGAGTGTGGCAGGCACATAGCTGCAGTATGTCACAGAGACGAGCCGCCCATGCTGACTAACACCCATGATTCCCCGCCTCTTATTGTCATCTCCTAGTCTCTCACTTCTCAGGCTGCTGACCCCGTGCTCATTTCCATTCAGCAGAGGGGTTTTTTGTTTTAAATTGCTCCTCTGTCATACAGCATGCTTTTCTTCCCCTTGGAACCGCAGTGGGCAACACCCACAGAATCGGCTAATACGCACCCGCCGCTGTTCACCTGACCCGCATGAAAACACGCATGCACGCAAAACTGGATTAACGGTGAGCGTGGTGAGTGTTTCTGATGTCTCCCAGTCGAGGAAGAGATCCAGAAACCGGCTTTTACTGTCAAATACTACCCCTTTTATGCCTGCGTAATAAGCCAGATATTCATCCCGGTGGATGTATAATGACAAATCGAATGTTATGGATTGTGATCAGGGAGGATCATAATGATATCTGTCAGAGAGGATGCAGTCGTTCGCAGCTTCTAACGGCTCTTTCAGATTATGATGTAACGCACGAGGCAGCCACGGTGAGGTATGCTACTTTTTTTCACGTCTTGCAAAGCTTCCCGCTCTCTATCCAGTCTGAATAGCTGTAAACAGTGAATGATTTATGAGGATGCAACAGCAGGAAGGGCTATCAGTTGCAGTTATTGTACTCCAAGGCCCCTCTAAATAATGGCTCTCTCAGTGGTTAGACCGAGAGTCTGCTGGGCTCTGCTGAAAGCGAGATATTGACCA